AGATTTTCCCAGTGCAATACATCTCTTGATCTCCTGACTGCTGATACCGAGGGTGTTGATTGTGGATCCAAATGAGATGAATTAGTTTTGCTGTTGGATGTCATTATGTCGATTCTCACTCAGTGACCCCCCTCCCCCCCAGTACATGAGCACAAACCACTACCCAGTCTGTGCCTCACACTCATTGCTCTGTTGGAACCCATTGCTGTGGCTCTTGCGTCAATTCATGGCCTTCCTCTTTTTTCACTGATCCTCTATTTAACTAAGCATGATGGCCTTTAGGAACTAGTCCTCCCCGAGAATGGTCTTTCCAACTGTTTGTTGTGTGTCTGAAAGTAGACAATGAATAAGGATGACAGAAGAACTGATACCTTTGAATTCTGGTGTTGGAGTATGAATAGCCCATGGGCTGCCAAAAGAACAGACAGATACGTTTTGGAGAAAGTGCAGCCAGTGTGCTCCTTGGTGGCAAAGATGTTGAAGCTTCATCTCACATACTTTGGGCATGTTGCTAGGAAAAGCTATTCCTTGGAGAAGGACATCATACTTGGAGAGATCAGAAAAAGAGGAGACCCTCAATGAGATGGATTGACATAGTGACTGCAGCAACGGGTTTGTTTAAATATGTCGGAGCTAATGAGAATGGTGCAGGGTAGAATAGAGTTCAGATCTGTTGTACACAGGGTCACTATAAATCACACTCAACTCGATAGCACACAACAACAACAACAACAAACAACAACGGCAGCTTCTTCTGAAAGATTTGTTCCTTCTGGAAGTTCTTAGCATGGACAATGATCTTTCCCAGCAACATAATCCAAAGGCATCAATTCCTTTTTCTTATTCACTATCCAACTTTCACATGTATATGATATGATTGAAAATACCATGGGTCAAATGTACCTTAGTCCTTAAAGTGACCTTCTTGCTCTTCTTCACTTTATTTCTTAAAAATTGTTATTTTAATGAAAGTTTATGCAAAGGATGAGTCTTCATTCAGTCACGGATACATTCTTCTTCTCTCCCTCTCCTCCAATTCACTTTGTAATGCATGACTTGTTCCAAATGGTCAATAGCCATACATACAACGTTCAATCATCCATTCCCTTGGGATAGCGCCCCCTTCTCCCATTCTGGTGTCATGTTTATTAAGAAATATTTTACAAGGGAGCTCTGGTGGCCTAGTGGCCAGAAGCTGCATTGCAATTCCAGAGGTATGTGGTTTGAATCCACCAGACACTTTGCTGGAGAAGGAAGGGCAATCTTCTATACCAGTCAGATCCGACTTGAAGGCGTGCGCGTGCACACACACGGACACACACACACACACAAAGAAAAATAACCCCCTCCCCGATTATTTAAGAAAAAAATTTACAGCAGATTTGCCTAATGTATGATTTTTTTCATCTTTTTGTTTGTTTTGTGAATTTTTTGATTACTCCTTTTGCAGATCCAAGTAAAACAAAATCCTTGGCAACCTCCATTTATCATAATCTTTATTGGTAGAGTTGTGAGAAACTTTGTTTTCTTGATGTTGAAGTGCAATCTACACTGAATGGTAGTGCTTTTGTGTTTTATCAGAACAGTGGGGAGATGAGTCCTTCTGATGTCTGGGAGAAAGGGGTCTTGAGATCCTGGCTTCAGCCAGTGGAGGCAAAGCATCTGAGGATGCAGGTGGAAGGAGTTCAGGGCTCCTAGGACTCTGATGGACAAAGTGTACAGCTTCCCTATTTTGTGGGGACTAACTTCCACTCCAGGCCCTGGCCTCCAATAGGAATAGATGAATTTCTGTAGCTTTGGAGAAGCAACTATGGGAAGTGGTCAGGGTCAATCCAGGACCTTGACCTTGGAGGACTTGTGAGTTGTTGGGTGGAAACTTGTGTTCTGTGGGGATCCCACTAGTGGGATTTCTCTAGGAAGTTACTCCTTGGTGACAAAATTTCAACTGGTGGTCTAAGGTGTTAAGGCTGGTTTTGAAGACTCTTTTTATGTTCTGAGGTGGAGTGTTTTTAGAGTCCATCATGAGGTGTTCCTGGGAGTATCTCTAGTGACAGATGAGGAGGAAGCCGCAGAACCTGTCAGTGACATCATCAACAGTGTGTTGTCCTGGGGCGCGGGGCACAGCATGTCCAGCTTGGTAGACTGAAGTGTCAGAGGATGTGCCTCTGGGTGAAGATGGAGGAGGAGGGTTCTCTGTGAGACCATGGTGGTCAGAATATGTTGAGCTTTGGAGGTAAAAATGGGAGCTGGGTGACAGGCTGCGTCAGACACCTGGATGGGGGGAGGCTGAGGAGGGATGTTTTGGGGCTAGTAGAATCTGGAGATGGATTTTGAACCCCAGGGAGTCCTTTTGTGGATTGCTGTAGGGAGACCCTTGAGAGTCAGAACACGGATCTTTGCAGTAGATTTGAGGGTTCAGATCCTGTGGGAAGGTTCTGGGGACTCTCTGAAATGTAAGAATGCAGGAGACATCTGAGAAGAAGCAGACAAGAGAAAACCAAGGAGGAGTTATGTGGTGCTCAGAACCAGGGGTGTGGGTCTTAAGGGATATTTAGGGGAATTAAAACTAGGGAAAACTATGGAGATGTATTTAGGGATTAGAGCATCACAGTGCAAGGTCCTTTGGGAGGGGAAAATAGGAGATGAGGGCATGCGGGCCTCAAAGGCATGAGTTGATGCTGTTAGGTGCCCTTGAGGTCAACTCATAGCGACCCTATGAACAGACTGAATGCTGTCCTATCTTGTGCCACCCTCATCATCTCTGACATGTTGTTATGTGCCCTCAAGTTGCTGTGACTCGTAACGATCCTACAAACAACAGTTCTGAAGCCTACGCTTGTGTTGAGCGAGTCTCACTGACTCCGACACACCTACCCTCATTGCCCCAGTTACTGTATCAATCCATCTCATCTGGTGTCTTCCTCTCCTACACTGTCCCTTCACCCTTCCAAGCATGGTGTCCTTCTCTAAGGACTGGTCCCATCCAGCCACATGCCCAGTGTATGTGAGATGGAGCTTCAAAATCCTAGCCTCCAAGGAGAAACTTGGTTTCACCTCTCTGAGACAGACTTATTTGTTTTCTTGGTGGTCCATGACGTTAGTTCAAGACTCTTCTCCAGCACCACGACTTGATGGCATCAATTCTTCTGTCATCTTTCGTCATCGTCCAGTTCTCTGAAGCATAGCAAGTTATTGCGAAGACCAGGACCTGGATTCGGTGCGCCTTAATCTCTAGACTGACATTGTTGCTTCTCAGCACCCTGACAGCAGATTTTCCCCAGTGCAATTAATCTTTTCATTTTCTGACTGCTGGTGCTAAGAGTGTTGATTGTGGCTTTCTACGAAGATGGCACCGAAAGTGAAGAAGGAAGCCCCTGTCCTTCCCCAAACTGAAGCCAAGCAAAGCATTAAAGGCCAAGAAGGCAGTCCTGAAGGACATCCACAGTAAAAAAAAAAAATAAGATCTGCATGTCACCCACCTTCCGGCAGCATAAGACGCTGAGACTTCAAAGGCAGCCCAAATACCCCCAGAAGAGAGCCTCCAAGAGAAACACGTTTGACTACTATGCCATCATCAAATTTCCCCTGACCACTGAGTCAGCCATGAAGAAGATAGAAGATAACAACAGACTTGTGTTCATTGTGGATGTCAAGGCCAACAAGCACCAAATTAAACAAGCTGTAAAGAAGCTCTGTGACATTGATATGGCCAAGGTCAACACTTTGATTAGGCCTGATGGAGAGAAAAAGGCCTATGTTCGACTTGCTCCTAATTATGATGCTTTGGATGCTGCCAAAAAAATTTGGATTATCTAAACTGAGAATACCATGGACTGCTAGGAAAACAAACAGATTTGTCCTGGAAAGAGTTAAACTGGGTGGCTCCTTGGAGGCAAGGATTCTGGGGCTTCGTCTGACATACTTTGGCCACGTTGTAAGGTGGGACAGGTCCTTGGAGAGGGACATCATGCTTGGGAGGGTGGAGGGACAGCGCAGGAGAGGAAGGCCCTCTATGAGGTGGATTTATTCAGTGACTGGGGTAATCGGGATGGGAGTGTCAGAGACAGTGCAATTGGCACAGGACAGAGCGGAGTTTAGGGATGTTGTACATAGGGTCGCTATGAGTTGCAAGCGACCCGACGGCACATAACAACAACAACAACAACAAACGGAGTATAGCTGGCAAATTCTAAATACAAATTTTTCTCACACACACAAAAAGAGAGCTGGAATTGTTAATAACCCCAATCTCTTCTCCATCTATTATGGTGCTGCCAATTGGCCCAGTGGTGAGAATCTTTGTTTTCTTGATGCTGGGCTTCAATCCATATTGAAGACTATGGTCTTTAACCTTCTGCAGCAAGAGCTTCAGGTCCTCCTCAGTTTCAGCAAGCAAGGGTGTGTCATCTGCATAACATAGATTGCTGATGAGTCTTCATCCGATGCAGTCCAACCCATCTCTGACATACTTAAACCTATTGCTGCAGTCTCTTCAGCAACCCTCCACCTTTCCAAGCACCATGTCCTTCTCCAAGGAATAGGCCACACACCCAAAGTGTGTGAGACAAAGCTTTATCATCTTGACCTGCAAGAAGCACTCTAGCCAGACTTCCTCCAAGACATATCTCTGTGTTCTTTTGTCAGTCCTTGGGACATCCAGACTCTTGTTCAACACCGCAGGTCTAAGGAAAGAGGTGAATTGAGGGCTTTGGAACCTAGGAAGGTCTGTGTCATAAGCAATAGAAGACGAGAGTGAGTAGAGGGGCAGAATTTGAGGCTCTCTTGGGTGTGGATTAGGGAAAAACCCACTATGAGGATACCTGGGGGTACAGATCATGGGACGGTGAGACAAGGAGGTTGATTATGGGGGAGGTGGACTTAGAATTGGAATGTCACCAGGGATGGATTGTGGGCTGTCTCTGGGTGGACCTGGTGATGAAGAGGACAGGGACAGTGCAAAGGGTCATGTGGCCGAGTCTTTACTGACCGCCCTCTCGCCCTCAGTAGCACTTTCGGTACACGATGTGGGGCCCCTGCTCCTCATACTGCTCCCGGAGGACCCAGCAGGACTTGAAGGCGCGCAGCGAGGCCAGGATGGAACCGCCGATCCACACCGAGAAGTTCCGCGTGGGCTGAGCCGCCACCACCACGTGGGTCTCGGGGGCCAGCGAGCGCAGCAGCTCAGCCCGGAAGCGGCCCTCGAACCCGGGGAAGAGCGAGGAGCCTCCGCACAGCAGCACGTTGTGGGCCACGTCTGCGCGCAGCTCCTGAGCCACCTTGCTTAGGCTCTGTTTGGCCATGGTGGGGACGCCCACGGGCGACAGGCCCGGGATGTGGGGGGGATTGAAGAGCAGCTCCGGGCACTGGAAGCGCTCCTTGCCCAGGGTGACCACCCTGCCATCGGGCAGCTTCAGCATCTGGCCAATCTCCTTTTCCGGCTGGGCCTGCTCCTTAAGGAAGTCCGGAGCCACGTAGCAGTGGCAATGCTTGATGGTCTCCAGCGTCTCCAGGTCCTGTTGCTGGCACTGGTCCAGGCCCACGCCCCACAGCATCTCCGCCAGGAAGGCCGTCAGATGCATGCCCGCCAGGTCCAGGCGCTCGGTGGCATGTGGCAGGTTGTAGCCCTGGAGGACTGGCACCGTATAAGTGACCCCATGGCCTGTATCGACCACCAGCCCGCTGACGCGCCCGTGCGCATAGACCGACAGCACCGACTGCGAAGCCACGTACATGGCGGGCGAGCGCAGCGCCTCGAACACCATCTCCACCAGCTTCTCGCGGTTGGTGGCTGGGCTGAAAGGTGGGTCGGAGAACAGCAGAGGGTGGTCCGGAGGGGACACGCCCAGGTCGTGCTCAAGAAGGTGGCGCCAGATAATTTCAGCGGCGTCCCAGTCCACCAGGATGCCACTGCGCATCGGCTGCACCAGCGTCAGCTCCAGGCGCCCCCGGGCCGCCTCACCAATGAACGTCTCCAGCACCGATGGCCCTTCCTGGGTGGACTTCTTGGTCCGGTAGCCCATGATGGTAGCCACGGTGTAGGTGGGCCGAGCCTGCCCTGCGAAGCCCACCTTACATGTGCCGGTGCCCATGTCTATGACTACTGCGCCTTTCGTGGCTGGAGACCTGTCACCCACCATGTCTGGAGGCTCCGGCCGCAGAATGGTGTTCCCCGGGATTGAGCTGGGGCTCAGGCCAGGTCTGGGGGCCTCTGGGTAGGACTGGGCCCCCTGGGGCTTGGAGTCCATTGTTTTTCGTCGATGGGTGGACTGGGCCAGATGGTGGGCTTGGGGGCGGCTGTCCGCTTCTGCTGGGAGAAGAGTTGGAGGCTTGAGGGGAAGGACAGGGCAAAGAGAGGGACAGATGATGGGCCTCTGGTCTATGACATCACCCTGTGTCCTCTAAGCCTGCGTTGGGCAGACTTCACAATGCAAGTTAGGAGTGAATTTTGCCATAAGGAGAGATGAAGGTCTACCACGTAACTGAGATGAACGTTGTAAACATTGCGCAGAGAGAAAAAATGCCAGGCACAAAAGGACACAGGCTGTAGGATCTGACGTTGAAGAAACAGGCAGTTGGATGAAAGCTGTTCCTGCCCACCAGGGGTGAGAAGGAGTGGGCAAGGAGAAGGGGTAGTCTTAGCTAGGGGGTCACCGAGCTTCTGATAATGTTATTGCTGCTATGTCCTGTTGAGAACCCTTCAGCAGGTTTTCAGAGGCAGTTAAAAAAAAAAATCACACCAGAGCAGCTGGTGGATTCGAACAGCATGACTCTGGGTTGGCAGCCACATCTCCTTACCACTAAACCAGAACTGATGGTTGAGTAACCTGGAAACCAATAGTGTTGATGGCTGTGCAGAACAATGAAAGGAAGCCACTGAGCGGAAATGCAAAACATGTTGAATCGGCAAATATCTTGTTATATGTATCTTCACCACAATAAAAAGAAAAAAATTAAAAGAAAGCAGCTAAGATTCTGCTTCTCTCTCTCTCTCTTTTTTACATTGTGTTTTTTTTTCTTTTTAGGTTTCAATGACAAATTTATTCATTCAACAAATATTTCATTAACAAATATTTACTAGTCTTATACCATATGTCAGGCATTGTATCACAGTGATATAATATTTTATAAAGAGCAAACCCAAATGATCTTCTTGTTAATAATAAGTTTTTAATATGTACAAAATCTAAAGTCTATGAGAAGATTTATATATATCTAGAAATAAATAGAGCATTTACATATGTAACAACAACAACAACAACAACAACAACAACAACAACAGTACATAATGTATTCAGGCAGCCATAAAACCAAATGGCTCCAATGGTTCAAATCCACCTGCTGCTCCAACAGAGAAAGATAGACAATCTCCTTCCGTTATGATTTTACAACCTTGGAAACCAATGGAGGGTCACTATGAGTGGGAAGTGATTGGACAGCAGTGAGTTTGAGAGGTGTTTGTTTGGTGTTTCACACGGGGAAGACGGGGATTGTTCAGAGACATTTCACTTCTGTTGTTGTAACAGTTGATGATTCATAACAACCCTGTGAACTGCAGATTGAGACCTTGCTCTATTCCACGACACCCTTACAATTGCCACCCTGCTCAAGACTATTGTTGCAGTGACTGCACCTCTTCTAGCTCTGCGGAAATGTGTCTCCATCCCACCCAGTTGCCCTCAAGTTGGCTCTGATTAAAGGAGACTTTGTGTGTATCAGGGTAGAGGTGCTGCATGGGTATTCAAGGACTTGGCCTGTTTTCTGACATACTTCTGGGTGAGTTGGCTCAGTAGCTGAACATTTAATCTTCTGCACTGCCAGCTGCCTCCATCCTTTAAGTGAATGGTTCTCTGTGTCCAGCGATTCTGATTCGCAGGCTCTGTGACTTGGCCCAGGGCATCACATTTGTGAACCGACAGTGCTTTGAATGCAGAGAAACGCTGGCTGGAAACAGTCTTGCCACCATCCCTGGAGAACAAGTGGGCGTCCTCGCTCTTCTCATCCAGTCTTTGGCGGTGTTGGCATTTTCCAGCACATTCTAGTTGTCCATGCCAATATTCCCGGCTCCATGCCTGAAGCTCATTAACACTGTCATTATTTTCCCCTCTGTTTTTCTCATACTCTCTTGGGGCCAATTTTAGAACTAGGACACCTGACTCCCTTTGCAATTAAAAAAACAAAACAAAACTGGAAGAGGGTTTCTGATAGATCAATTGACTTGGCACCTCTAAAACTCATTAATTTTAGCTCAGAGTGACTCTGTGTGATCAGGGAGACCTGTATTCTGTAGAAGGTCCCTGGGTGGAAGAAAGAATTAGTGATTTCCTTTCAGAAAAGCAGCCATTGAAAACCCTATGGAACATTTTTCTACACTGATACATGTGGGTTAGTGTGAGTTGGAATTAACTTGATGGCAACAGGTTCCCCGTCCCTCTTAATCTTCATCTCCAGGCCTTTCTTCTGCAGTGCCACTGGGGAGATCTGAACCACCAACCTTTCAGTTAGAAAACATCAAGTTCATTGCCATCAAGTTAATTCTGATTCATGGGAACCTCATGTGTTTCAGAGAAGAACTGTTCCCTAGGGTTTTCTTGGCTATAACCTTATGAAAGTACATTGCCAGATATTTCTTTCAAGGCATCTCTGAGTGGATAAGAATCTGTAACCTTTCATTTAATAAGAATTCAATTGGTTGAGCCAGATAGGTACTTCTTAGCACCTCACCTGTATCCTTGCAAAAATTAGACACTTTGTTTCTTGGAGGGATGAGCAGAAAGTGAAGGGTTTGTGGAAGTATTGTTGAGAGTTATTGCAAGATGAAGTGGGTTGGTGGGAATCTGCACTCAGATTCAATGGGAACAAAATAGGAAAGACTAGATCCACAAAGTCATTAGTTTTTTACTTTTACCTGATTAAGATTGGGAGAGGGTGTGGCTCTGTGGAATGAGGCTAGAACTATGGAACAAGGGATATCATTGCTGATGACAGATGGATCTAGGCTGAAAACCAGAGAATATAAAATAGATATTTACTTGTGTTTTACTGATTATGCAAAGGCACTGAACTGTGTGGATCATAATAAATTATGGTTAATACTGAGAAGAATGGGAATGCCAGAACACTTAATTGTGCTCATGTGAAATCTACACATAGACCAAGAAACAATTGTCCCAACAGAACAAGGGAATACTGCATGGTTTCTAATCAGGCAAGCTGTACATCAGGGTTGTATCCTTTCTTCGTATGTATTCTATCTGTGTGAGTAAATAATTTAAGAAGCTAGACTATCTGAAGATAAATGTGGCATTGGAGTTATATAGGAAGACTCATAAACAACCTGCATTGTGCAGATGACAGAATCTTGGAGAAAGTGAAGACTAGAAGCTCTTACTGAACAAGATCAAAGGCTACAGTCTTCAACGTAGATCACGTCTATCTCAACATCAAGAGAACAAAAATCCTCACCCTTGGACCAATAGGCAAAATCATGATACATGGAGAAAATATTGAAGTTGTCAGTTACTCAATTGCGCTTATATCTACAGTCAACATCTCTGAAAGCAGCAGTCAATAAACCAAACGATCCACCTTGAGTTGGTTTTTGTGTATGGTGTGAGGTGCCAATCTTGCTTTCATTTTCTGCAGATGGTTGTCCAGTTTTGCCAGCACCATTTTGCCAGCACCAGTTAAAGAGACTGTTTCCCCAATTTCCTGAGGGAAGAAAGATCTTCCTGTCGAAGATCAGTTGGCCATAGGTAGAAAGGTTAATTTCTGGGTTCTTGATTTTAGTCCATTGATCTACATGTCTATTGCTATACCAGTACCATGCTGTCTTGACTACTATTGCTGTGTAGTAGGTTTTGAGGCCAGGAAGTGGGATGTTTCCTAGTGCTTTGCTTATTTGGGGATCTTTTGCCTTTCTAGATAAAATTGGAAACTGTCTTTTCCACATAATTGAAGAATGACATCAGTATCTGTGTTGGGATTGTATTGAGCCTGAAGATTGCTCTTGGTAGAACTATCCTTTTCATGATATTGAATCTTCCTGACTGGCTTCTGCCTGGACCTGGTTCCTGTCTGGATCTGGCTCCTGTCTGGACCTGGCTCTTGGGAGTGTTAGATTACCTAGGAGTGCTTGAGAGCACTAGACTGCTTGGGAGCATATGGAGCACTAGACCACTCAGGAGCACTAGAACGCCCTGCCACATGGACATCACCCCACCACACATGGACACTGCTTCTGTGCCAGGAGCACCAATATCACAGAGGAGCACCAATATCACAGAGGAGCACCAATATCACAGGGGAGCACCAATATCACAGAGGAGCACTAATATCACAGGGGAGCACCAATATCACAGGGGAGCACCAATATCACAGGGGAGTGTAGAGGAAATGGGAGGACACAGGTGGTGGGAGGCCTGAGCCATCAAACAGAGTTTGCTAGGGGCAGGGGATAGGAGATGCTGGAGGGGCAAGGAGAGGGAATTGAGCTGGATGCTGGCAGGATGGGGTGAGGTTGGGAACACTACATATGTGCCAAAGGGCTGGGCCCCATGGGGCCAACACTTGATCTGTTACCTGCATACTCTCATTAGCTCTTTTGGGTAAAATGCTTGTCTGCCAAATAATACTCTAAAGCTGAAAACTCAAATTGATACAGACTAGAGAGGAGACTTGGCCATCCACTTCTGAAATAACAGGCCTTCAAAAACCCTCTGTACAATAAAGCACACTTAGATTAGACTAGCAGTTTGTCACTGGAGGCTGAGCCTTCGTACTAGGAATCTCAAAGGAAGAGGAACAGTTGCAAAGAGATCCCAGTAATTGGAAAGTGGAATGTGAGAAGTATGAATGTTGGAAAATTGGAAATTGTTGAGGAAGAAATGTGACACATAAATATTGACATACTAGGCATTGGTAACATGAAGTGGATTGCCATGGGATATTTTGAATCAGGCAATCATATGATATACTTTGCTGGAAATGAAAAGGTGAGAAAACTAGAGTCTCATTCATAGTTAAAAAGATTCATTGCTAGATTAATCTTGAAATACAATGTTGTGAGTGACAGGATAATATACAAAGGAGATCTTTAATACTACTATCAAATTTGTACTTCAACAACCAAAGCCAAAGAGGAGGAAATAGAGGAATTCTACTACTACAGTCAGAAATTTACTGAACATGCAACCAAGATACATTAGTAGTAACAGGTGACTGAAATGTAAAAGTTGGGAACAGGAAT